GCCCCTGCTTGCAGGTCTGGTTCCAGAACCGCAGGGCCAAGGAGAAGAGGCTGAAGAAGGACGCGGGGAGGCAGCGGTGGGGTCAGTACTTCAGGAACATGAAGCGGTCCCGGGGGACCTCCAAGTCCGACAAGGACAGCATCCAGGAGGAGGGGCCCGACAGCGATGCCGAGGTCTCCTTCACAGGTCGGTCCCCGGAGCCCTTTTTGCCGGGAGGGGTCTGTGCCGAGCTGTGGCCGTCTCTAGGCTCCTTGCCCCCCCTCGGTGCTGCGTTAATAATTTTCAGCCGTAATATAATGAGTGAAAACAAGTGCCCGAGGAGGGGATTTACCGCGCTGCGGCCGCGGCCGGGTCCCGGCAGGGCTACGGGACGGGGGTGGGAGGGAGCCGGAGCTGAAGGGGCTGTGTCGGGGCCAAAAAGGCGCAAGGGAGAGCAGGGGGGGCTCCCCGGGCAGGCGCTGCAGCCGCTGCTCATATGCAGCCTTTTCAAGGGACGCTTGGAAATACAAAAACCAGAGTCCAGAATCACCCGACGTTTCTATGGAAAAGTATGTAGAATTTAATTTTTTTTTCCCCCCCCATCCTATTTAGGGGTGGTTTTATTCGCGTAGCTGCTAATCAGGACTCCCTTCCCAGTTCTGTGGGAGTTGTAAGCTCTCCACTGTGCTGCAAACGGGAGATTGTGGCGTGTTCGGAGGGTTTTGCGTCAGAAGGTCCCGTTTTTGGAGCAGAGATTTCTGTTGCTGAACCCAGGGACGTAGCTACGCTAGCTCGTGCCCTGCACAGCCTCATCCCACACTCCCCAGACCCAGGGCATCCGCTGCAGGAGCAGGATACGGCCCTGTGCTGGGCTGGGGGGGGATCAGTGCCTGCGGTGCTGCTGGGGCCGTGTTCTGCAGGGCCCCAGCTCCAGCCCAGGGCTGCCCCGGGGCCAAACGGGCTCTGCTGGTGGTACCTGGTCTGTGCTACTGCAGAGCCCGGCGGGGTGTGCGTCGGTTTTAGGAATAGAGGAGAGAAGCTGAAATGCAAAACTCCGTGTACGTATTTACACAGACACACATCAACAACGCACCTATGTTTAGACACGCACAGCTTTTGCATCTCAGCTTCTCTCCCGTGTTCCTGAAAACAATTTGATTTTCGAGTCTGTTTATACACACTGTGCATCAGCATCATTAAATATGAATATACTATAAATAATAACTAAAAAATGTTGAACAATTATTGATAGCTTGATGCCACAAACAGGTTTGTATCCTAGGCAACAGAGCAGCTCTCACTGTCCATAAAGCCCCTAACGAATGCAAACAATTTTTACCGGTAACTTAAAAAATATTGCCCATTTTTCAGAAGTGTTTTTAAGCCGTCCAGGTACATTTCATTAGCCTGTTCCTGAGCAGACAAATAGTGCTGAGATTTAATATTTTTTTTCTGAGCAATGGAGAGTTTGTCTTGCATTGATGAGTTCAGGTAGCTCCTAAAAATGGTATCAAAACTCGAGATAAACCTCAACGCCGAGTAGAAATGCAGAACACAAGGTGGAAAGACATTGAACTCGCATTTCCCCTTAAAGGATTATTTTTAAATCACAGCCTTATATTTTAATATGTACTTTTCATGCATATTTTTAAAATCCAAAACGTATTAGATGTTTGTACTCAGAAAAAAATAATAATCCCGTGGCCTTCTACGAGGATCCATCAACAAGGACAGGAATAATAAGGAATTACAAGTGGCGAGTGCGTGGCTGCTCAGCTCCCATCCATCTAATCTATTTATACCCAGAGCTTGCAGGAGTTCCCGTGCGACCGCTGCCAGCCATGCCCGTGGCTCTCCCAGTAAAACCAGTCCATTTCCCTTTCAGATGAGCCCTCTATGTCTGAAATGAGCCATTCCAATGGGATTTACAGCAATCTCAATGAAGCGTCCCCTGCTCTGGGGAGACCGGCTGGGACCAACGGGAGCTTCGCTCTGGATCACAGTGGCATCCCGGCTCAGGACCAGTACCACGACCTGCGATCCAACAGCCCCTACGGGATACCCCAGTCACCAGCTTCCTTGCAAGCGCTGCCAGGCCACCAGCCTTTAATCTCCAGCTTGGTTTACCCAGACAACGGCTTGGGCATCATGGGACAAAGCGGACAAGGGGTGCCCCAGACCATGAGGGTCCTGGCCGGGAACGGACCCAGCTCCGACCTCTCCACCGGCAGCAGCGGGGGATACCCAGATTTCCCTGCCAGCCCGGCCTCTTGGCTGGATGAAGTCGATCACGCTCAGTTTTGATACAGGGTCCACCGCCGTGCAGTGGGAAGGGAAAGGACTCGGTGCCGTTAAACGTCATCTACTCTTGGAACTAAAGGAGGGACAAACTGCGGTGGCTGAGCGGGGCAGGGAAGCGTGACGCCATGGAGAGAGCGGACGTGCTTTCGGAGGGCGACCCAGCAGTGGGTTGGCAGAGGCCGGTGGGCAAAGGCAGTCGCACCGCAGCGCTGCGGAGCATCCAAACAAGACTGATTATTGTGTCTTTACTAAACACCAAGACTTGTGCTTTACAGATTTGATATAAGGTCTTTCGCTTTCTGTTGTCAGTGCATTCTCCAAAGCAAGGACTTGCTTCATCACCCATCCACACCGAAACCCCGAAACCTTTTAAAGAGAAAATAAAGTCCTCATCCACGGTAAAAGGTGTGACAATGTCTATATTTCTATAGGAGAAATGTTAATAGTGAATCACTTCAGAAATCCATGGTAGAAAACTCTGTTCTTCCAGCAGACTTTTTAAAAAGCGCACCGATGCGGTATGTTTTGTTTTATTTTGAATTTACATTAACTTTTCTAAAATGAAATGCTCTTTAATATGCCAATCATTTATCAACAGCCCTTTTCCTTTGTAAAATGAAAATTAGCTGTTAATTCTGCTTCTCATCTTTTTAATTTGTAGCTTGCTAGTTTTATTCTTCCACATACGCATTAAACCCTGGATAGATGTATTTATCACCAAATAACCACGCTTTTATCACGAGGTCAAGAGGCGATTTTTCTTGACCCAGGAACACTGGTGGCTCTGGGTTGTGAATCTAATGCTTTTCTTTCCAATTCCTTTGCAACGGTTTTACTGCAAAGCTTTCCCAGTGACCCTTCTCTGTTTCAGGCATTTGTGTATTTACGCAGATATAGTGCGAGCTGATTGTGAGGAAAGGCAAGACAATATGTATATTGTTATCTGTACAAATGATGGAATTTACTGTAGATTATGTGAATGTCTAGTGTCTTTTATTTATATTCTTGCTTTCTCTCTGATGATCAAATACTTGGAGATTACAAATAAATTTGTCAGCGAAACTTTAAATAGTCTTTTGCTAAATTCACATCAATATAGGTAAATACAATACCTGAAACTAAAAGGAAAAGCCCCCCAAATTCCCTGCCAAAGTGTTGAAATACGCTTTTCCCTTTAAACACAGGAGCGACCTCACCGAGGTAAAAATGCTTTGATAAGCTGAAACAAAAAATGACAGTGTGGGAGGCTGGCAGCCCCTGGGAGATCCAGGCTCCCTGCATGCATGGGCTTTGGTCGTGGTGAAGCTATTTTTGATGGGTCGTGGTTATTTTTCAGCATCCGTTGCAAAGGTAGAAATAAGTAAAGCAGAAATCTCTGCTGATAAAGCAATAGAAAATAGCCGAGCCTGATACTGCCTGTCTGTGGACAGAAAGTTGTGCACATGGAACGCTGAAAGTCAGATACTGGAATATTTCAGAGAGAAATCAGACAGAAAAGAAAAAAAACCCCTAAGGAATTAAGCTCAACCGAACATACGCAGCCATGTGTGTGTACACACACGAGAGGTGCGTGCACACGCATATCTCCATGTACAAGTGTCCGTGGTCACGCTCCTCAAAGCAGAGTGAAGCACTTTGCTGAAGTCTCCGATGTAAGAATCAAAGGGGAAACACTGCGTAAAGCACACGGGCTTCGAGCCTCTCGCTCCCCTGGGAAGTTGGGGAATATTCGTACTGGGGTCTGCAGCATGCGTGTGAATTTGAGACCAGCAGCAGGCTTGGGCAGGGAGGCGGCGCCGGGGCCCGGGGTGCAGCTGCCTCTGGTCCTGGCCCCGCGGCGATGCTCTGGCCCCCGCCGTCCCACACTTGCTGGGCACCCCAGGGAAGAGCCGTGCTCTCCCCGGGCGGCTGCCAGCACCCCAGCACGGCGCCTGTTGCCCCGGGGACTCGCCAGCTGGCAGGCAGCAACACCTGGGAAGTCCAGGCTTTTGTTCCTTACCTTTTCCAAAGGACACATCGCCGCTGCTGGAACAGGGCAACATGTCGTCGCCCCCGGTCTCTTGCTAGAATTGCCCGTGCTGTTTGGCCGCTGCGGGGGGACGTGCGCTTGCCATAACACGTGGCCGTTGCTCCCTGCTTTCTGGGCCTTTGCTTAGCAACGACGGGACGCTGCCATCTCTGCAAGATTTGCAGAAAGGTTTAGCTTTGCAAAATACTTGTGAACCACCAGCACTGTGCGAGCGTCTCGACAGCTTTTCTCCCTCCTGTTACACATGCATTGCACCTGAAGAGAAGGAACACGTCCAGTCTCTGCTCACAGGGAGCTATCAGAAGCCTGCCCAAAGCAAAACGGGTACATGGGTACGGCCTTAGTGCTGCGATAGTCACTCAGCAGAGAAACTCATTCCCTTTTCCCAGGAAACCCAGTCCAAGAGCTCCCAGGGCAGGGAGAAGCCCCGCTGCGTGGCACCATGGGGCTTTCGGTGTAAAAACACCACACCAGCTTGAACCTGGGGGCGATGTGTGCAGATTTGCTCCTGTCTCTGCTCTGGGGGGATTTTTTCAGATGGGTGATGCTGTGTCTCCTGTGGCTGAGGCAGAAATTTGCCCCATTCGGGGCTGAGCTCTCGAGCTGGGCTCGGCAGCGAGAATCAGGAGCTGCTTTTTCTTCCTTCTCCAGAACTGAGTAATACAGAGACAACTGTTGCTGCTAGCCCATAGGTACATCGCAGGGACATTTCTTATTGAAATTTATGGAGTAATTAGAAAATTCTGGGACTTCAAAAGAGCAGACTACAGAACTTCACCCAAAGAGAAAACAAGAGTTCGTGTTTTCAAGAATTCTGTGTTTTCTGCTCTCGGTGGTCCAGAAACACCCTCAGCAAATCTGGCTAAGTCTTGTGCACCAAACCATTTTGGCAGTTCAACCATAAACAATATTTTCCTTTAAAAGACTGGAAAAGACCCTAAAAGACTCCTATTTCCTAAAAAAGAAAGAAAGAAAGGAAAGACAGAAACGGAGCTGATACCAGGGTACTGCGGCTGTTACAAAGCCACTGTCTGGAACCTGGAGTAACTGAACACGTATTTTACAGATTTTTTTTCATCGTTTCCCTCCCAGCAAATAACGGGCGCAGTCCGGGAATTCCCAGCGGAAGGCTGAATTTAAGAAAGGCAGAAATGCAAATTTCCCCTCTGCCTTTGTGCTCTGCTCTGAAAGCCGGAACGGGCTGAAAGTTGCCGGCGCTTGTGCTCGTCTGAACACGGAGAGGAGCTCCCCGGGCGCCCTGATATAAAATTCAGGGGTTGCATTTCAGCTTCTCCTTTCAGGGCTGAAGGCTCAGGGATTCCATTAATATAAATGCTTTCTTCCCGTTAAAAAGAAAACCAATTTGAAAGAAGCAAATAAAACTAAGGCTCTCCAACTGCCTGACAGCTTGTAAAACCCAAACAGAATTAGGAAGAGGGGTTTTGCATCGCTCACTTTGCAGGTGAGCTCTACAGCCTCCGCCGCTTTGCGTGACATGGGAGGCAGGAAATTTTTTGTGCTCTCAGTGAGGAAAACCTAATGTATGAATGTTGTTTTTTTTTTTTCCAAACAGCATATTCATCTTTTCAAAGCAGTTGTGCCTAAACTTGCATTCCCTACAGACGCAGAAGCGATTACGTTTTGTGTCAAACAGCAGAAGTAACTTATTTTTTTCTTATTCTGATTTCCTGTATGAGGCCAATGAAAGCAAAACCCTCACGCTGGGAGGGACGGACACCACCTCGCTGTTACGTATGTTCTGCAATTTCTGCGGGGGTGTCAGCTCTGCAAGGGAACCTGTTTATTGCAGCGGCTGAGGCTGCCGGCGCTGGCAGCGGGCAGTAACCCAACGCCTGTGATCCCGGCTGGGAGCCGCCAGGCCGGCGGGAGCCGTGTGCCGGGAGGGTGGCTCATCCCCCCGGCTCCGTAGCCACAGCTTCTCCGGGAGCTACAACCTGAGGAGCTGGTGCGATCCAGGGGAACGAGGTGGCAAAAGGGGGGGTGTCCCTGGCTGGGGTCAGCCCGCTTCCCTGGGGCGCAGGGCTTGGGGACCAAAGTGCCCCTCTGGGGACGTGGGCCAGGTGAAACCCCTCGTCCACGGGGAGCAGGGAAGGTGGCTGGGGCCGGGTCATGCGCCGAGTCCCCTCCGGTGGCTTCTCCCAGAAGTATCAGAGCATCTGAGCCTTCTCACCGCCCCGCGCATCCCGCCTCGCCTCTCCCGCGAGCACCAAGGTCTGCGGGAACGAGGCAGGAAAGCAAAGACCTGCATGATTTATACACTGAAATAACATTTAAAAGCAGCAAATGACTTTGTTAAAACCTGACAAGAAAACCAAGCCAGCAAAAATATGCCAAGGAAAAAAAGCAAAGGTGTTTAAATTAGGTTTTTTTTTTTTCCTTTTTGACATCTTTATTATGCGCCATGGTGGGAGTGCATTTTGCACTAAAGCACACGTGCAGGCGTGTTTGCTGGCGCACGGGCGCAGCGGGTAGGGAACAGAGCCTGGGGAAAACATTGATTTAGGATGCGGAAAGCGCTGCTTTTGTGCTCAGCATTTTGCAATCTGGGCATGAAAAATAATTTAATGGACAAATATGGAAGGCTTCTGGATTTAAATGAACTTTTCCATGTTCGAACACAGCTGGTTTCTGCCCATTCTTTCTCTTGCAGGACACAGATATATGTGTGTGTGTGTGAGCGGGGCGGCAGGGAGGTATGTGTCCTGCCTACAGAACACACCGACTGTGACCCCCCTGACAGAAGATGCTATTGAAACAGCCTTTTCTGGTTTATAAGCAGAAACTGCATATTGGCTATCAAGACACTTTGTCTTCTTTCTATTTTGGATGAAGGCTCGGGTAATTTCTAACAAACGAATCAAGGTGATCTGGTGTGGCCGGGGGGGCCCTGGGGCCAGGCAGCTGGCAGTGGTGCTGCCGGGGCTGGCACTGCCCAACGCACCCCCGCTGCTGT